TATTTGAAATTTTCCAAACAAAAAATTATCTTAACCATTTCAAGAGTGTTGTTGTATTTGCATGTACTTGTACTTTGCTCAAATTTTCAATGACGCTATGTAAATAATACAGTGTTGCCTGGGACCGCCCCCCTCCCTCTTTCTCTCTCTCTCTCTCTCTTTCTTTCTTTCTTTTCCCTTACAAATACACACACACACACACACACACACACACACACATCTGGTTCACTCTATCTCTCTCTCTCTCTCTCTCTCTCTCTCTCTCTCTCTTTCATTGCTCCCTCCTCAAACATACTGCGTAGTGTCCAATGTTCATACCTTTCTTCTTTCTCGCCATGAATCAACTATTTATACCTGGAGGAATTCGGACCGACTCTCCTGTTCATTACAAACTAAATAATGTGAAAGGTTTTTTTAAGTGAAAAGAACACACCGTGAAAAACAACAGTCAGTATACAACTAAGAATTAGTCTATCGACGTTAGGGGCACTGGAGTTAGGGGGAAGGAGAAGGGGGGGGGGGTATCGGAAATAATGTAGAAGCCATGATTGGAGGGTGTGGCAGTGGGGTCATTTTAATTTTGTTTCATGTTGTATTTTCCCTTATTCCTTACTCCCTCTCTCATTCGATCTATCTATCTATCTCTATCTATCTCCCCTCTCATTGCCCTTTCTTTATCTTTTTTTTTCTTCCTTTGCCATATCCTACTGGGGGAACATGGACCTCGCCCCCATATAGTTACGCTAATGTCAATGTCTATACCGAGCAATGATAATGCATTCATCTGTCTGTAAGCTCTTGTGTTTGTCTTGTAGGAGACGTCATATTTTTATAGAGCAAGTCAACAGTGAGATCGTTTAAGAATGTGATACACTTTTTATTTTTGTTCTGTTTCGTTTCGGTTACTTAATCTTTTCGTGGACACTACTTCCCCTTAGCAAAGAACACGGTTTGAGTGTTTCGAAAGACTTTGCTGTCAAAAGGACATGCTTCTTCTTTATGTATAGGAGTTGTAGAAATGAATATGAACATATAAAAACTATATAAAATGCAGGTGTGATTACAAAACGTAATCGAAATACAAATTTATTTGCTCATTTATTCATTCATTTATTTTCGTTTTATCCAAGTACGATTGCATCTTCAGTGAACAAACTGCAGTCCCTGAGGGCTAGCAATTTACTAGCTCAGAAGTCAGTAATTTTCGTTACATTTCAAATGTTGCCATTTACATTATTCGTTCACGAACTTCTTTGTACTACGTTAGCTCAAATAGTGCATATTTTGACGAATTTAAGAATTCCTGATATACCTTTGTATGTATGCGCATAAAACGTAATGAAGCAATGTCAGAAAATCCTTCGCAGTCAAAAAGGTTTCTGGTTTAATGCAGTGCATAGGTCATGTAGGTTATTTACATCGTGTAACACCCTCTCCCTAATTATGGCAGTTATCTTGGACACGTAATCGTGTATGAAATAAATGATTATTTGCTAAGTCCAAACAACGATGCTATAAATTGGTGACAGCTGATGCAAAATGGCTGCCATGCAGATGATGCTGAATACAGGACAACTCCTTACCCTTTCTAGATTTTGCCTGTAGAACTGTCAAGTACACTTACATGTAAACTGAATATCTTAAAAGTTTAACATTCTATTCATGCATAGGCGGTTCTAGGGGGGGGGGTGGGGGTGAGGGGCCGCCCGTTTTGGAACATAAAATACATGAAAAAACGGCATTCTGGAGTATTTAAAAAGAATGCGACGCACCCCTATCGAAACAACCACCAAGGATTTTAACGGTAGACGTGGTAGAGCTGAAAAGGGTCTTTAATTGAGGACCCATCACCTTTAAAAAAGTAAAAGCAAGAATGTCTTCATTCATTTTGTTGTGCAATGTAGGGCAAAAGACAGAACATGCTTGAACATACCCTTTAAATCAAATCCGAAGGCAGGTGATCTAAATCAATAGCCGTCACTATACAGCATAACACGTACGTGTATAATGTTATTAATTTTTGCAGGAGTCTGCGATTAAGTAGTGTAGCTGGAAGAGTTCACTTGTTCACTTTTAGATCCAGGCTAGCAGAGATTTATTTTTAATTAATTGTCAGTATTAGCTACAACTGTTTCACCCAAAGACCTTTATTAATGAGAGGTGCCAACTAAAATTGAGTATAATTTGCATTATATCACTTTGTGTTATACATTAATGTAGCAAACTCTCGATAAGACTATACTAAGCGAAGACATACACGTACCTGTATGCCTTAAGGTCCATTTGATGTATATTACCCACTAGGCAGTAATAGACGGATAAAAGTTTTTAGTACTTATTCCGTACATATTCTGAAATCCTGGAACACACTGTTCATTTTATAATGGGATATGCTCATACACAATCATTACATTGAAAGGAACATAGAATACGTTTGGTAGCCGAACGTTATTCTTAAGTATCACAAGCTTAATTAATAAATTCAGTCTATGATGAAGGCCAAATGTAACTGACTATGATTGTTATTCGTAAAGTCAAAAGTTCACTAGCTTTTGAGCTATAATCTTGTTCAGGTTTTACATTTAATGAAACGACGCCATGCAATGAATCTCGGTATTGCAAAAAACAAGAAAATTAACTGCATGTATGTGCATGACCTCTATTTGCATGTACTTTCTAAATAGTTACGAATGGAAATCCACTCTTATATGAGTCATATTACAGACTCCTTTATTATGAACATGATTTAAAAAGGAATCTACTCCTAAAAGCGTGGACCAATTGCGAAAATAAACAAATTTCATTTCACTTCTCAAGTATGTCACTGAAAAAGTAATTACTTGGATATTGTTGTGCTTTTAGACGTCGTATTTGTAATTCATTCTAATTATTGGGGGAAGACGGGGTATATTATATTGATTATACTAATATTATACTGGGCCCTCAGGTACAGGCAATCTCGTTAGACTGGAACTGTTTACAGATGATATTAGATAAATAAGTGAAATGGGTACTTGAGATTCGATATATAGATTTAGCACAAATGAAAATACTCATTCTTTATAATGTGCTCTATAAACGTATAACACTGGCTGTATTACAAAACTTGAATAGCCGTTACTTTAATTAATACTTTCAGAAATGGTTAATGATATCTCTATTATTAATATCATGCATACAGAACCATACTAAAAGCATTTGTGTACATTATAAACGATGTTAATCAGTCCCTTTAAGGAAGGTGTTAATTTATATGGGTTCATACAGAATAAAAAAATGCATTCATGTTAATACACATGTAACGCTATATTACATGCAAGCGTATTGTCATGATCGGTGTATACCATGGGAAAATAAATTACCGCGGCCTTGGTCCAATGTATTGAATGGACACCCATGCAATATACGGCGATACGCACCATGCTCGAGTACAATAATTAGAAATGCAACTATATGCCAATTGTGTGGAAAAAACCACAATGAATATGAAAAGACACAATGAATATGAAAAGAGGTATATGAATATGATATATATTTGTGAAAAGGGCGGAATATATATATCGTTGTTGGGGCATTTGTATTCTTTTGACAGGGTTTTCTCTGCTTTGCTGATTTCTAAACTGAGCGGTGTTGAAATCGTGTCCACTGGATGGTAAGATGCTTATATTTGACCTACATGTAATGGACATGAAATTGCATGACACCAACAAATTGTGATTTGATTGCCTTTCCTTATTTGATTAAGGCGTTCTTACCTCTCAATCGTTACATTTTATAGTGGTCAATACTGATAATGATAATGATGGTGATGATAGTAGAAGTCGTAGTTGTAGTAGTAGTAGTAGTAGTAGTAGTAGTAGTAGTAGTAGTAGAAGTAGTCGTAGTAGTAGTAGTAGTAGTAGTAGTAGTAGTAGTATTAGTAGTAGTAGTAGTAGTAGTAGTAGAAGTAGTAGTAGTAGTAAAAATATCATTAATGGTGATGATAATGTTGATAACAATTTTTTAAAAGTAATAATAATAATAATCATAACAATTTTATTAATGATAATAATGATAACAAAAGAAATATTAATAATAGTTATCATTATGTTAATAATTGCAATAATACTACTATTAAGACTGATCAGTACAGATCAGTACAGTTGATCAGTCCAGAAAATTTAGGCCTACTGATCAGCATTATAGCGATCAGTAGCAGACATTCTACAAAACTGTGTTATCTATAAACTAGAACTTGGTCAATATGATCCGCTTGTTTGTTTCACGACAGAGATGTTTTAACATGTACATGTATTAAACGTTCACATGTGCATCATATTGATTTTGAAGTAAAACAGAGAGGAAATGCAAATGTACCTAACAATTCATCATGCAAGTGCCGTGAGTTTTGTATCTTCGTTTAATACTACAGAGAATATAATGAAACGGCTGTAGAAACAGGTTTTGAAGTAGTCTGAGGCCTATATCAGCAAAGTATACAATGCATGTATCATCATAAGCCTTCCCTGCGTAATCAAAACTATATTGAAATTGTATACTTGAGTTCTTGATTTCGATGTAAAAAGTGTGTGTAAAATTACTTGTGAATCAGCCAATTATAAACATATATATATATATATATATATATACATATAATATATATATATATATATATATATATATATATATATATACATATAATATATATATATATATATATATATGTATATATATATATATAATATATATGCATGTATACCCACTTTCCTTCTTAGGCACTAGACCTACGCAGTCTAATAAAGGATTACTATATTATTTCACGAAATATTAGTACAGAGCGATGTTTACCATAAACAAACATTTCAAAAATATACATATTTAACATATTCAAGTAGTTCATTACAAAAATATATTTTTGCCCTTGCTTCGGGCCTTGGTTATTCGATAAGCTTGAAACGCACCCAATTTTACACATTTCGAAGTCAAACCGTGGCCTGACAGTCTTTAAATTATCAACTTACCGGTTGCCGGGCCGGAGACCCATTCATCTTGTCTTTATTCCTTTTTCCAAGTTTCAGAAAGCAAAGTGGACAAGTATATCACAAGTTAAGGTCCTTCTCTTTCATGTAGTCCCACACGGGTACGATCGCATAGCACAAAGTAAAACACTGAAAAGATCTGTCACTCAGTCAATGCGGCCTAGTTTAGGTCCATGGTTTATGTCCTTCGAAAAAAAAAGAGTAATTATTTTGGCGACGCCGTCAGCTAGACGAATACAGACCTTCCGTATGCGCTAGCAGACTCTGGAGTTCGGAACCACACAGAACCACAGTCATTTTGTTCCGGTGGAGTTATACATCTTTTATGATTTCGTCAGGCTATAGAAATTGCGTTCCGCAAGAATGGGCCTAGATAAATAAAGCCCAGCGCCATATAATAAAAGGTAAATAGTTACGACATGATTGTTGTACGTAATATGTGTATACGGCGAGTTTTCACAGCACACATACGTGTGTGTGTGAGCGCGATTGAAGCTATTAAAGTGAACTGGATTAAAGGGATGACGCATCGTAGAAGCCAACACTAGACATTGCTGGTGTATTCATATCATCTGGCATTCCCAAGATTTTTAAGATGTATATTCACAGGTGGTTATTGTCCATTGCATACCAGGCATTCCATCACATACAGGAAGAGGTGGAAATCAATCGATAGTTCGATCTTTTTCATCAAGGCATGGATTTGTTTTGCTCATTGGACACGTCGTTTGGCCTTATAATGCACCCTCACCATTAATGTGTTTTATGTTTTCTTGAGTGAATAAAGAGAATGAAATGACTATTTTTAATGGAGTATATGACGAACCTAAGAAGGGCAAACTTCCAATTTCTTAACCAACGCCATGATACAATTTGCATAAAAGGACGACTTCCAGGATCTTGAAAAAACATACAAAAGAGCAATACCCAGTATCGTTATAAACGTATTCATTCCAAAGTTATAAAACCTTACTTTCTATATAGTTGCATTTCTTAAGAACTACACTTATTTGAAATGCTCAAACAATATACTTCGAGGCTGTAATAATTTGATTATTTGCAGATATACCAGGGCCAAGTAATCCTTTGCTTACAATATAAGGTGACTTAGAATCCATTCAGTGATGAAAATCTAAGTCAATAATGGTTCTAACGAGATAATACTTAAAGTCGAAGTGAAAATCCTATTTCTCCGAGCGGACCGTACTAAACCTGATTCCCTTTGTTAGTAAATTGATTAACATAATTGCAAGGTCCATGTTTTAGAGAAAACAAATACTGCTGTGATGTTTTGAGATCCCCATTATGGATTCAATCACATCGTACGATTAAAAAAAAAAAAACTATATCACACACTGTTCCCCCCTTTAATAAAAACTGCTGTTTGCAAAATTGTTCAAAAAACAGGCAATATAGGCACGATTTCACCCTATGAAGAGAAAATTCAAATGAATAACAAATGTACAAAAAAGTATATACAGTTATGTTTCGATATCTATATCATGTGGGGTGGGGAGGGGGTCATTCTCATACACAAATGCTATACCACCCGTGTCCATCAACCTCTGCAATGGATCCTAATGGCGTATCGCACCTTTTCTGAAATGGACCCTTAACGGCGTATCGCACATTTTCCGAAATGGACCCTAATGGCGTAAGTAAGAAAACGTCGAAACATGTGAACCTGAAAAGGTACCCTTTTTTAAGGTTTGTGTGCAATCGGTGCTTGAAAAACACCCTTTTTAAAGGGAAACGTCGACGACGTCGTATAGCTTAAAAAAATAACACTTTCGACGCCTATTCTGGACGCGGGTGTATAACCGGTCATGTTGGGAGTGACCTCTTCCTCCGGATCTATATACGCGATAGAACGTATGTACATTTAATTCAAATTAATAATTCTAATCCAATGCCTAACACTCTTTCATCGTTTTTTTTTAAACAGTAATTTGTCCTTACAAACTAATTAGCCTTCCCAACACCAGCATATCCTTTTCCAGAAATCGTCTTTTTACTGTTCTGTTCTGTTCTATTTGTTTATTATTTACCATGTTGTGTTGAGAGTTTCAATCACTCAATTAATATCATATACACGTTCCCTTATGTCTGACAATGCCTTTAATCACAGGCGTACATATTCCTTAAGATAAGTCACCTGTTATGCTCGCGAACTTATGGCCTAAGTCATTTTATGGCGTTAAAGTTCTGGGATATTTAATCTCGAAATTATTTATTATACAAATATGCGGGACTTTTATTTGGCCAAAAGTCGCCTGTTACGCGATTACGATTAAGTTTATTTAGGCATGCAGCCAATAATACACCCTTCTCAAATAATAAAACAGAAATAGTATAGACTAAGTGTGGGACATAACGAAAACCAAGTTAAAAATAAAAGGCATAATTTGTCTAAAAGATAGAAAATGGAAAGTTTTGATTCGGTAAAGAGTAATATAAGTTAATATTTCTAACTGTAAAGCTGCTAGAAGAACGACTAGCCAGACCAAACTTACTTTTTTAAGAACAATGACGATGATTGATGATTTCATGTATTAACGGAATGGCAAATCAGTCCTGTCTTTTAATTTGTTTTAAAACTTTGGCTGATCTATTTCCGTCAAACTCAAATTTTCATTAAAAATAATCTTAAGATTCAGTTTCCCTTTAGGCATACTCTACGGTTTGTGCATGGCTCTGTTTCGTCTGTAACATATGTAACATATATACAACAAATGTAAAAAAAAGGGGGGGGAATAAATCAAAAAATATACACTCAAAATACAAAATATACAAAAGCATTACATTGCAACATATCCACTAGAAAGCAAAATGAAAGGCAAGTGTAAAAAGTTGAGATTAAACAAAACTATAAGTATTTCAAACAGCGAACACAAATTTCCTCTCGAGTTACTAATGTAGCCCCCCCCCCCCCTCCACATTTAAAAAAAAAATGGAAACTCAAGTATGATCAATGATATTTCTCTTGTTATGTGATAATTATCAATTTGTTTAGTATCATTAGAAAGTATGTTTAATCCTCTTTAACATTATACCATATTTGTTTTGATTTCCCAGCCATAGATTGATCAGTACATTACAATAAGGGGCAGGCTCAAAATTAAAAAGTTGCAATATGCACTTGTATTGTTATGCGGTGTACTAAATAACAGTCATAATCTCTTCACAGGAAGAAAAACGCACAGCCGATATAGCAGTGCAATTTGCAGCTTTTCACTTTTGACATTGCCCCTTACTTTGATTTAATGCATACTTTATGACTAAATAAACAAAATAAATGGAGTATAATCTTAAAGTAGAAAAGCACACTTTCAAATGATACCAAACATAGCGATTGTTATGCCATAACAAGAGAGATGTAATTAATCAAACTTAAGTATCTCAAACAAATATAATGCATAATAACATAATAATGCTCATAATCACATTTGAATAGCTCTTAATACAACGGTTCTAAGCGCTTTACAAGGCCAGAGGACTCAAATTTAACGTTATGTGTGTCAACTCCATGTCACCGTTATAAGTGTTAATTCCGTGTTACCGTTAAAAGTGTTAACTCGTTATTACACTTTTTCAGGGGATGGTTTCATTCTGTCTACATTTTTGTCGAGTCCTGACAGGAATTTATGGAACTATATTTCAGACATTCCAGCTATGGTTATTTTTTGCTTTAAAAGCGTTGACCCGGATACTTTTCTCGATCTTTCGACCATCGTTATACAATTACCCATAAAAATGATAATATATAAAGCCTGCTTTTTCAGATTGAATAAATAAATATTCACATTATGCCACTAAACTTATACTCTTAATTCGAAAGTCAAGCCTCCAGGAGAGATTTTATGCAATATTTGCTCGTCAGTTTGGTTACATGATTACCATATGAAGATCTTTCACGCACTTATCTGAATTATCATTGAATATCATTAGCTAAATATTTACTCTTTGCAAATACGTTGTAATATATTCACGCAATGTTTCTTTTTTTCTCAGATATAGACTCTTTTGATATCGTGTGTTTCTTATTCTATACTGTCGTGGTAAAGTGTCCAATAATTCACCTGACTCTCAATCCGAGGGTTGAGGGTTCGAATACCAGCCCGGCACTAACGCTTTAGTTCACTCTTAACATCACTATAAATGAATTCCGGCTATGGAAGAGAATGAGGGGTAGACATGTTATATTATGTAAAATTAAAATTCTGTGGTGACATTCCTAGATGCAAAGCACTCCGGCTGAGGAACAAATAAGTTGGAAAATGTCCATTGAAATAGTCCTCGTTTAACATTGAGTTTAACATTGATTCAACGTATCGACTGCGATATGTGGCAATATGTAGGTAATAAACCTTTTACACTGTAGAAATAGCCGTAGAGCAATACTAGCAGTACAATCGAAATAGCTATTTACAATTATTGACGTAATCGTAAAAGAGTATGAACGAATCTTAACAAGGATCTGTATGTTAACAAATGTTGTGTATTAACCAACCAGTGTGTTAGACAAAGGAAATCGTTGAATCAGAACTCTAACCTTGACTGATCGGTTGATGGATTCAACTGATATCCCCCCCCCCTAAAAAAGAAGAAGAAGAAAAAAGTAAATTTGGTTTTAACACGCTCTGCAGAGGGCGGCACCACGTTTATATTGAATCCGGATTGAAGATATTAATCATTCATTATATTAAGGGCTATGCAGAAAAGCATTTAGATTCTCCTCCTCCCCCCCCCCTCTCTCTCTTCGTCTGTCTGTCTCTGTCTCTGTCTGTGTGCCCCCTCTCTCTCTCTCTCTCTCTCTCTCTCTCTCTCTCTCTCACACACACACACATCCACACATTCGCGCACACACACATTTACTCACTAGCGTCCCTGCATAATACACAAAATAGTTAAATTAGACTTCAAATACGCTTCTTCGAAACCAGGTGTAATATTTGAATCATAGCATAATGGTTATTAATTTACCAAAGGCCTATATTTCACATGTCAATATTCAACTTTGACCGTTAAAAAATGGGTTGTATTTTTTTCCAAACACACTGTCGCAAATGCTACCACGATAGCAGATTGAGTAATGAATACAATATTTGTTATACCAAAGACCTATACTCTGATCTAGATAATGCTTAAAAAATAGAACTAATTGGCTAGAGTTTATGTTGTAAACACGCTTTGACGAAAGGTGGCGCCAAACCCATTTTAAATCGAGATAGATCGTAAATCCACATCCTACTGGGGCCCACTCACATGCATTATGAGGTTCAACTTTGATCGAATACAGAGAAAAGGAAAACAAATGAATA